GGGCCGGCCGCGCGTGCGGGGCTCCCAAGGGGACCGGAGTCGGGGGGGGCGGTGGCGGGGATCGGGTGGCGCTGAGGTGGCCGGTGGAGCCCGGGCCGAACCGAGCCGAGCCGAGCCGAGCCGGACAGCGGGCGATACGAGCCGCCACCCCCGCTTCGTTACAACGCGGGGGAACGGCGCAAACAAGGGATAAGTAAAACTTCGCGTGGAAGGTGCTTCCCCGCGGTGGGGGACCGCCCTGAGACCCAGCGGCCCCCCCCCCCCGCCCAGCGACGCACTTCGCTGTCAAAGGCCGCTTTCCTGAGGGAAAATTTCCCTTTTCCCCCCGTTTTCACCTCTCTCCCTGCACGAACAGCGTCCGCGGGGGTTAAGGCTCTGGCACCGGAGTCGCCAACGCTCTTCTCCCGGCGGCGGTGGGCGAGGGCTCCGCGGGCGGCCCGTCCCGCTCCCCGCTGAGGCCCGGGGCCGCGCCAGAGGGGAATCACCTCACGGCACCCCGGCCCGAGCCAGGGCTCACGGCAGGGGACGCGGGAAGCGCCCTAGGATCTTTTTCCCCACAAAAGACAAAAAGGGGTTACCCATCTCCCATCCCATATAACCTTCTTTCGTTTTCCTGCACTAAACTCATTTTTAGGTAAGTCTAAAAACGAGGCGTGTTAATTTGCACCAGTGCTGGGCTGACTGCCAAAGCACAGTGGATCCAAGCGTTTTTCTGTGCTTCATACATCAACCTGGGTTTAAGGAGGTTTAGGATGGAGTTACTGCTGGAAATGCATCTAAATCCTCTGGTTTAAGAGCAGCAGCAACATTACAAATACATCAGATACATCCAAAGTGGCGTGCGTGAATTTAAGTCAGAAAGATCTTAAGTTTCTCCTTGAGAAATAATGGTGGGAGGTTGCTTGTTTAAGTAACAAGTTGAATCAAACCCATACAGCAACAATGCTGTCTATCATATGTCAAGATGCTTCAGATAGCTACTGTAATTTAAAAGTAAGCACACTAATAAGAGGTCTCTCCTTCTGGGTCAAAATATCTGCCCTATTTGTACAGGATATACTCCAATGCAAAATTATAGAAGGACAATTCAAGCAGCCAACTGTTGGAAATATGAAACTAAAGGGAACAAACTTTCACTAAGGGTCTAATCCTGGAAGTTGCTTAATATCCTCTGACTGGATTACAACTAGCGTCCTAGAAACAAAATGCTTTGTTTGGATCTGCAAACATTGCCATTAGGATGGCAAAAGATAAATGTCATTACTGGGGTAGAATCTTGCTCTACAAAGTGAAATGGACCGATGTAAATTGTTCTTTATGGCATGCAATAAAAGATATTCTATATTTTTAACCCATATGGAAAATCTAATTCAAGATTACATAGAAGAAAATTTATCTGCTCCGAATGAAAAAAATACTGTCATCCAACTAAGATGTCAGATAGTTACATTTTTTCCAAACTAGTATAACTCGCTTTGTTTCCGATACAAATTACAGTTGCAAGTATTGGAAAGGACTGGTAACTTTCTCAGGCGCTATTGGCTCCTCTTGCTCCTCGCTTCTGTCTGTAGAATTCTGGGATGTGCAGGCACAATAACTGCTTTCTGGCGCACGTGCATACTTTTCATTAACAACAAAATATAATACTACCCTGTAGCTGTAAGTGACCCAGATGCAGTACTACGTGCTGAAGCTCAGTCACATGTTTACGTTGCACCCGAATTGCTGAAATCTTAGTAATGGGCCACACTCGGCACTTCTGCTTCAGCTAGAATTTACCAGGATTTTATTCCAAATATACCAAAGGTATTGTCTCCGCAAAAGGGATGGTTTTTCTTAACAGCCTGATCTGACGATGAAAACTTAGCTATCAACACGGCAATCACTTCCACATTCAGGAGACAATGATATAAACACCGTATTGTGACACCGCTGACTAATCTACCGGTCACAATCTAGGCTCTGTAACACCACTTGTAGGTGTATTTCTGTGATGTCACTGACCGGGTTGTGTCATCGCTGAATAAAATCAGGCAAGAAGCACAAAGGATTTAGGAGAGCTTTGGCTCGGGCAGGAAGCCATGCCCATGATGCGGCAGCGCTCTGGCAGGACTCCCCTTGCCCTGCGCTGACTGGCGTTCGCTCCAACGCCTTCCCTCGCTCAGCCCGTTCACCTTGATCTCACTGCTCTCCTCCACCTCTCATGCCCTTCCCTTCACCTTTCCCTCTGCCTCTGTCCTGCCTTCAGCTTTCTCCTTCCCCTCTTCATGGATTCATCACCATTTAAACGAATCCCACTGGAAACGTGCGAGGAACCCCACCGAACTCCCGCACCATTCGCAGCCGCCCGGCCAAGCACTGTCTCAATGCGCTCACACCTCTTCCTACTCTGTCTTTTGACAGCGCTGTCTAGAGAAACTGGGAATTATTCTGGAGAAGAATTAGCTACTGTTATGACTTACCTAACAAATAAGGTTTGAAAATCTCATACCTGATAATTATCATCCACACGCACTGGCCATTCACACCTGTGTAATATACAAACAAGTTGCATCAAGTTTGTAACAGTACTTCTGATTTCACAAAACGCAGCAGGGCATCAAAACAAGACACTTTCTACTTAATCTGAACCCCGAAGATGCGAGGGCCAGGCTGCAGAGCTGGCTGTAAAGAACAGGGAATCTTCTGTACTCCTCCCCGTTACAGAGCACACCAGGTGAGCTTTTCTCTTCTGCAACAGGCCTGCGGTCACTGACGACAGGGCTGGAAAAGAAAGCCCGAGGCTGATCACTGACCCCTGCAGCATTAGCTGAAGGCATCCAAGGGCTGGAAAAAAAAATTAAAAAGAAAAAGAAAAAAAAGAAAAAAAGAAAAAGAGAAAAAGAAAAGCCCATGCAGAGGTTTATGAACTCACTAGGAGGTTAGGTGAAAGCTGGCACAGTGGAAAGAAATAGAAAGATATTGGAAAAGGAAGCTGGAAATGCCCTGCAGGAAAGAGAAGATGGAAAAAGCTGGGGGGTGAGAAAAGGGTAAAGAAATAAATGAAAGCACAATGTGTGAAATACAGAAATATAAGAAAATAAAAGAACCAGTTTGCTTTTTCACTTCAGGCATACCCTTATATGTGATTTTACAAGCATTCCTTAAAGATTCCCCTTTTAATTCTGTATTTAGCCCTAAAGATAGCGCAGACGCTGTCGAGAGTGTACAGACTGTTCAGGGGCAGGAGGTGCAGCCCCGTCAGCCTGACCGAGGATGCTCTGAAATCACTACAATGCAAATGCAGCAATTTTGCAGGAGCCTGTATATTAAAAAAAACAAGTCAGCCTGAAGCCTAGAATTTTATCCACGGTAAAATCTTTGGCGTGCTGACCAGTCACACCGAACATTTCTCGTCTCTGCTCGATGCCGCGCTTGCTCTGGCTGTGACTCGTGTGCGCGCAGGCCCCGCCGCGCAGGCGGGCAGCGGTGGAGCAAGGGAACAGCGTGTGCGGCTCTCCTGGCTGCATACTGTTCTCTGCCTAATCCGCTTTGCTGCGCAGCAGGGAAGCCACCCAGCTGCCCAGCTAGGAGCTACGGACGCCGCGGATCTCGGCTGGCTGAACAAAAGCGGTTTGTCACAACCTCATATCGACGCAGCACGACTCACTGCGCACGTGAGCTCCGGGGCCGGGTGGATTCCTTCACATCCCGGCATCACAGCCGTGGTGACGGGGAACCCTGCCGCACTACGGTCTCTGTCCTGCTCAGAAGCACAGGAACCAGCCCGCCTGCAGACGCGAGGCCTGCCGAGCTCGTGAGGAGCTGATGGCTCACCAGGAACTCCCTAGCTCTGCAGTTTGATACCCTGACCTTGAGAGCTGGGGCACTTGGACAGTTTTAGGACACTTCCATGGGCCTGTACAGAGGTGGCATCTTCACCCCTGTCTCACAGAAGCCTCTACTCAGCCTCAGGCAGCCCTGTCAGAGGCATGCAGTGCTCGAGCAGCCAGCCATTGCAGGTGTCCTCCATGAACAGGCAGCACAGAAGCACCCCAGGACCCAGATCAAGCTTTTGGATTGCAACACAGACACAAAACACACTCGGTGTGTTCTCAGGAGGCAAAGGCAGGGTCTGCAGCTGACAAGAAAAGCCACTGCTAGGACAACAGGGAGCAGACACGCAATACTTCTACAATACAGAGCAGCCATGTGAGATCCCTGGAGGAATGCACTTGAATTTTCTTTTAAAACTACCTTATGTACTGCCGGAGGCAGAGTGCAGATGCTGAGGATCGGGGAGGAGCATTCTGGTTCTCAAAATGCTGCCATTAGCAGTTGTACAAGGGCAGCTATAACCTCACGTGAGGACATAAGCATTC